CACGTTGCTGCTGATCTGTTTCCTTTTGCTGTATTCATTCGTACTCACCTGCTCGCACAGACTCATGTTCGTGCTGCTGTTCAGCTGATTGTTTTATTACTACTAGTGTGTAGCATGTTTTTAGTTAACATTTTTCTTAGTTCATATGTTAGAACTTATTACTGTTTTGCTTTTATATTGTATACTTTTGTTGGATGTAACTGGAACCCTGTGTACACAATTTTGTTCCACATCATGTGCCACATGTGGTGCGTATGACAATAAAGAAACTTGAATCCTTAAATCCTTGAATAACAGTTCAATTGTATACTGTCTAAACATCCATCCATCCATCATCCATCCATCCATCCATCCATCCAACCATCCATTATCTTTACCTGCTTCTTCCTTTTCGGGTTGTGGGGGTCACTGGTGCGCATGTTCATTCATCACTGTCGGAGAGGTGGAGTACACCCTGGACAGCTCTCCAGTCCATCACAGGGACACATGTGAAAAGAGACAAACGAGACAAACAACCATTCACTCTCTCACTCTGAAATAGTGACAATTTAGAGTTACCAATCAGCCTAACATGCATGTTGTTGGTCTGTGGGAGGAAACTGGAGTTCCCAGAGAAATTCCACACATGCACGGAGAGAACATGCAAACTCCACCTAGAAAGGCCCCAGACTGGGATTTGAACTGGGGCGACCTGCTCACTGAGAGGCAGCAACTCAATCAACTGCACCACCGTGCTGCACCATCTAAACATGTCCATTAATTTTGATTCCAAGAAACTTAATTAATCTAAAAACATTGCATGTTTTCAGAAGATTATAAATATAATCATCTAAATATATAAACTCAAATACAAAAGATGTTATATATTGGTAATAATGTGACTGTTTCAGATATATTTTCTTTAAAATAAGTAAAAAAATGGAAAAGAACATTTCAAATATATATTATTAAATAAAACCATTTTGGTCCCAAACTCATCTAGGCCTATAGAACCCTTTTTTCCACAAGTGAGCACTGATTATAAATGGCCAAAGCATAATTGTCAGATTCATCTAAGCCAACCTATCTGCCTTCATCAAAATCTCATCAGATGTGGCTGAAATATCACACATGACACAGGAATCACAGGCTTTAGTGTGGCACCGACTATGTGCGATATAATCTAATTTTGAAAATGTCACAGCTCAGAGACACCTACAGCAGTACAGTTTCATTTGTCTGTTGTCACTGGGGAGTGGGAGAGTAAATATGAAACCCCAAGTTGGTCATTAAGATTGATGTTTGGGAAAGACCTGAGTATGTTTTCCTGCCTGATGCATTTTAAATACATTTCAGCTATAAAACTAGTCAAAACTTGTGAAATCAACATAAAAAAAAATAAAAAAAAATCAGTAACTACTTGAAACCATCTTTTAACATTAACATCATATTACATTCAACATTACATCATCACAACAAACATACAAAGAGAACTTTTGTTTTGGCATGATAGTTGGTCAGGACAATTCCACTTCCATTGAAATGACGTTTGAATGAAATACATAGTCTTCATAAGCAAATTTGGAGAACAAAAAGAGTTCCACATGATGCAGTAGTCATGTTCGAGTAGTACTGAAGATTTTTCTTAATGCGTAGACCTTTGTTTTGCACAAAAATGTCAAAAAGTCTTTGACAAGAAGAAAAAAGATCTTTGTTCATATGTATTGGCACTGCCAATCAGTAGAAAAATACCAAAAACTAAAGAATACTATTAGTTTTTTGTACGCTTTGAAAGTCGGTACAGGAAGAGGTATTGTCTCAAGTAAGAGATTGTCTCAGCCTGTTTTAAGCTTCTGTCTTGGTTCAATATAAATCTACTCAGTAGTTCATAAAAATGACCCGCATGATTTTGTACATATTTGTATCTGAGTGCTGGTATGTCTTTTTCACTTTTAGACTGGAAAGTATTAACTGGCAAAAGACTTTAGGTGCCATCATGTTGTGTTTCTTCCTAAACTTGAACAAAGAAACATGCAGCTAATGGAAGTAGCACAGCTTTATAATGAGTTATTGTATCATAGATTGGAATGCCAAAGTGTCCTTTGGAAATAATTTGAACCCCACCATGCCATCATCATGACATTCACTTGTTTAAAATATAAAAACAAAGTACAGTACCATTACAAATTATAAGGCAGAAACATATTTTTTACACATATGTAACCATTTTGCACGTCATTTCTGCAAAGATTTATGCATAATGGGAAGTTTAAAAAAAATAAAAGCATCTGGAAAGACGAATCGTGGTAATCGTGAACAAGTACCGTGCCCACATCAGAGAGCTAAAACAGGCAAGTGGTGAACAATGGCTGACAAAAACAAAAGCAGAATCCAGAAGAGAGCTGTAATAAGACAAAAAGAGAGGGCAACGCAAGCTTATTGTGAGTCTTCCAGATGTCACTTTAACCACTACTGAGTCTTATGTTTTAATCTGTGTGTAAAATGCAGAGTGAAGTGTTGCCCTCTGAGCAAGAAAAAGTGTTGAAAAGATATTAGCTTTGAGGAAAACAATATATCATGTTGAAAATGCATTTTAAGTGGACCAATTTCAGCAGTTATTCTATGATTAGTTGCGCTTCATGAACAAGTTACAATTCTTAGAAGGTGCACATAAAGCCATTATGACAAAGTTTACACACGTGAATTATGCCTTTGCATTAAAGCAGTGCAGTTTATAATGCAAGCTATGCAAATAAGCTGCACTTCTGTGAGTGTTAGACCTGTGCCTGGGTTTATGTACTTCCACATTTGCTGTCTGTGCTGTAATTTTAACCGATTTATGAAAATGTAGCTGTGTTGTAAAGAACAAGCCATAAAGTATTCCACTTAAAATGTGACGTTAAATGTCAAGGAATTTTGAGTGCTCTGACTTGTTTTTTGAAGACATGTTATTTTGTAAAGATAAAAAGTCCACTGTTTCTGCATTCTAAGACTGTTTTCCCACTTTAATAAGGATCCAAACTAATGTGTTAAAACATTGATCAGGTCAAATACATTGCTCTTTGGGGCAAAATTAATGTTTTTGTTAAGAGAATCTGGCAGATTTAAAGAGTGTCTTATAAAGACTGCAATCCCCTGATGGAAAATCCTGTCCAATAGCTCTATAAAAAAGTGAAAACATTATTGATAATAAATATTGATTTTTCTTATCTGGTTCTTTTTGCTGTCCCTGTCCATAGCGCTTCGATGCTAAGAGTCTGTGGCAATTTTCCTGAACATTTCTCGACATTAGAGTTTCCAGACTGGCAATAAACTCTGTGTTATTAACTATTAATAATATTGTTCCTCAAGCTCACTTCAATTTATCTTCAGAGAAATCAATCCCTTTGTATTACTAGCACCAATAGATCTGTTGTTTCTGGTTAGCTTGGCTTAAAATATTGTAGTTGAATGAACCCCACAGTGTTCATGAGCTGTGGGTTTAACATGGTTATGTATTTATAATCATTTCATGATTTTAAATCTTCTTCTTCTTTTGGCTGTTCATTTTCAAGGGTCGCCACAATGAGTCAATCTCCTTCTCACTCTGTCCTTTTCTTCTTCTATCCTCACCTCATCTACCTCCGTGTCCTCTTTAACTGCATCCATATATCTCTTCAGCCAGCTCTCTACCTTTGCCTGTCATTGTTCCTATGTTTAGAGCTGCTAGTACCATCACTACAAGACTCTTGACTTTCCCCAACTATCTCCATCTCGTGGTACATTTCCCTCCTCATGGTCTTCAATTAACAGTAGAACAATTTTTGCTGGCACCATTTGTCAGCAACACTGTTGGCTGTCCTTGTTAACCCGGACATCGACTGATCCTGCATGGTGTCATTTGGACAAACTTGCACATTTGCTTTGCGAGTGCATTATGACAGATGCCCTACCTGATACATCCCTCGTCATTTACCCAGACACAGGACAGGGGGACACTTGTCCATGATCCCTAGTGGCTACTTTAGTAATTTTAATTACTAACTGAGCGTAATGAAATTATTTAATTGAAAGTATTTGCTTGATGCATTTAAGCATAGCCCACCAAAAAGATTACAGCCAGGTAGAAAATATCAGTGGTGTATTTTACATGTTTGTAGTAGGTATACTGTGCTTAGAAACCAAAGTATACTGGTTAGTACAATGCAATCATCAATTTATGTTGATTTTTTAAGCATATTGAACATTTTCAAATTTCTCTGATGCCTTTATTTGAATAAATGAACAAAAACTTTGTACAACAGTTGGCTTTGTATTAAAAACATGTTATAGAATATATGAAACCGTATCAGAGCAAAGCACTGCTTACTGATAGATAGTTACATGAGCGTTTAACTGCCGTTTAGCATATCAATGCCACATGCCTGATGATATGTCATGTATCATTGGGCACATTTAAGAAGGTAGACTGAAATTCTTAAACTTTTCTAGTGGGTGTACTCCATATGCTATATGCTCGAGTATCATGTAGACTACACCACTGGAAATTATGGCATGTATGTGCATGCAATGTACACCATTGTTATGAGCAACCTGAAAATCTCCTCAAGATTCTTCTGTTGCTGCTTTTCATCAAAGCCAATTTGTGCAAATTTGCAAAACAAAAAAAAATAATATAAATAAATAAATCAAATTAAAACAAATACTAAGTACAGGAAAATAATAACATGAATGTGAACGTATCCTATAACTATGCGATGCTAAATTGTTCTAGTCAGACACGTCAAGTTATAATTATGAAATGCAAAGTTATAATTGTGAGACAGTATGTCATAATTCAGATTTAGATATTTTGTATTTATTTATTTATTTTTGCTTCAAAGTGGCATAAATGTGCTTTCACAGTTTTACGACCCTGATTATATAGCTTCCTGAGTCCAACACTAACCACCTTTCTGGTATAAAGTTTATGTAGATAAATAACTAAATTAAATGAGCAAGCGTGTTTTATTTTGTAACACCGCACCGGAAGTAGTGACTGCTGTGAGTGCCGTCAGTCTGACAGCAGATGTCCGGGAGCTGTGAGCGCACACGTCGCTCTCTCCATCGCTCCACTGCGGTAGGACCGTGAAGGCAGCAGAGGAGCAGACAGACAGCAGGCGCACTTCACTTCTTCCTGCTCGACCAAATCCCGTAGAGGCCACTTCATCACTTAGGACCTACTTTTCTCTGAGCGGACATACAAACGCATCTAATCTCACAGCGTGGCGAGAGCGGAGGAAGGAGAACTTTTGGCCGCGTGATTGATTTGTTTATTTATGCTCTGTTTATTTTAACCTCATCCCTTTAACCTTGGAAGACGCACCTGACTGTCGCGCGAGGATGGGACCACTACTCCCTTTCATCGTGCTGTGTTTGAGCGCGGCTGTCCCGCATCATGTGAAAGGTAAGCGCAAAAGTAGGCTGTCGCTGACGTTGCCTGATCAATACCTGCTGATCGGAGCATTTGTAAACTAACCCATTCATTGTGGTGTTCTTGAAAAACATAAATAGCTCCACAACATGCAGAGTCTGGTCTGCCTCCAAGCGCTCGGTGCTTGTCTATGACTCGTTTAATGCTCTGACCTATAGGACTCTTTAGAGTCTGTGAAACGGACGTGTCTTTGTTGAGGCGTTTTTTGTTTGATTGTTCTTTCTTTCTTTCTTTCTTATTATTTGCGATGCGCATCCAGGCGCGCGCAGATGAGATTGGCGCTGCTCGGTTATTTCTGCGCGCTCTTGTAGTGACCATCACGATGATCGTCAGCTGCGCCTCTCGCTCCTCTCTGCGAGGATAAAATGTGCTGAGCGTTCAGGTTCAGCCCCATAAAGCAGACAGGGCCATCACTTCTTCAATATCCCTTTTTTTTAATTTAAAACAAAATGAGCATGAAATGATTAATTTGATAGTTTTCTATCAGGGACGGACTCTGTCTTTTACAAGAAGGGGTATTGAGCAGGACAGCATCACACAAAAAAAAAAAAAATGGTCAGGTGAGGAGTACCATTAAGATGTCTTTTGTTGAGAGGAAATTGCTAAAAGCTTATATAGACTGACCTGAATCAGCATTTAAGTCATCTCAAGCCCCTCCCCTCCTTTGCCCTTCCTGTTCTCCTGGTGATAAGAATGTTTAAGCCTTAGCCTGTTTTTAAAGTGTCCACGATCAGCGCAGAATACCTGTGGGATTTGCTCGTGAAGACAACTGTGCACATCCCTAATAGAAGTGGGTCATGGCATCCTACTTGTCTCTGTTTATTTAACGACACGCTTGCCTCCGGAGTCACGCATGTCAGACAGACCTCCGTCTCTAAACAAGGAGTGTGCCTCGAGCAGAGTTTTGGAGGGCTCCCTAAGCCTCCGTGTCAACTCAGAGTCAACCGTTAGAAGACATAATACTCCCTGGTAGGCTGGCATAATGAATCCTGAGGAAAAGCTGAGAGCTGTGGTGCTCTGGGGTTGACTTGTTTCGAGACTCAGCGAGTTAAAAATACACCTTCATGGCCCCCTCAATTAGTCATATCCCAGTTAAATATGTGGATAAAAGGGATTTGCATCCCTTCAATAATTAATAAATCTAAAACCTCATCCACAGTAAGAAGTTAGTTGTAGGAGGTAGATATCGGGTTTGCTGTACATCTTGCATGACTGGCCAACCCAAAGTTGTCTAGGACAGCAGGCTGACTGAGTCTCAGGCATTCAACCATTGTGTCACAATAAATAAATCTTCCGTCCATCCACTGTCCTTTTTTCCCCCGTTTCTTATGATGCACTCTGCTTAGCTGTAGTCATTACTCAGCAATAGGTTTCTTCAGAGGTAGTAAGTAGTAAACACTACTGGTAAAGGCACAGAGTGCCACTGAAATAAAGTGATGTGGTAAAAAACATTCGCCTTCAGGTATAAACAGACTTCATTGTTCCAATTCAGTGTGCAATACATCACATCCTCTGCCTGGTTGCTGGAGCCGACTCTCACACGTTGTTTGGTATTCTGCCTGTCATGCCCAGTCCAAGCACCCAGTGTTTGGAAATGGAAGATGCTCTTGTGCAGGTACAAAGAAAATAACTTGTCAAAAATGTTACATGTCTTATCTCAGTTTGTGTTCTTTGTATAAATTTTGGACTATCTTTGGGCAAATGAGCATGTTTCTTAAATGGCAACATGTTTGTCAGCTGGTAATGAGAAATCAGTATTATTTGTAGTGTTACTGTTTGGTAAAGATTTTACAGTGCAGCAATGTTTAAAACAATGTAAACCTGTTGCAATTGCTAGAATATTTGGCGATTTAGATTGGTTCATACATGGATAGGAATATGAGACATTTGAAATTACTATTAAATACTATATTCCATCCATTCATTTGTTTAGCTGTTCTGCACAGGGCTGTAGGAAGGTAGTGTCTACATCCAGTGGTTATTGGGCAAGAGGTGGGATACACTCAACTGTTCACAGGTCCTTCACAAGACAAAGACAAACAAGATTAACTAAATTATGACAACTTAGTGTTTCAAATTAATCTAACATGCATATTTTTAGACTGGAAGCAAACCAAAGAGCTCAAAGAAAACCCAAACATGAGAACAAACAAACTCCCTTTAAGTTTTAGATACATTTAAGTCTGTGACCTTCTTACTGCAGGATATCAGCTCGTAATGTTGGCCTGCCATGATGCTCAATACTTCATTTATGACATTTTAACAACAAAATACTAGACTGATGCCCAAATATATCTAATTAACATTGAGGGAGGCTGCTAAAAATAAATATTTTACCCCTTTCTTTTCACTGGCAGAATGATAGATGGGTATTAATGGTAAATGGTCAACAGACTGTACTTGTATAGCACCTTTCTATCAAATCAAGATACTTAAAGCTCTTTACTACACAATATGTGCCCTCATTTACCTCCACACAAACATTAATACAGCACTCTACATCTCTGCAAAGCCAATCAACAGAGACTAATTAGTGCTTTTTAGATCACATTCATACACCAATGTGACACACATCAGAGGCGATGAGGGGTTCAGTGTCTTGCCCAGGGACACTTCAACATGTGACTGCTGCTGGAATCCAACCCCCCAACTCTCCTAGTGGAGGATAACCGCTTTAACCACTCAGCCACAGCTGCCTGAATAATACATGTTGATGATAGTAATTTGTGTAAAAGCTCATCACATTTACCATCCACTGAAAGTTATAGGTGATGTACACAACCTGTGTGGTGCCCTTTCCTCTGGCTTTAAATAGCACAAACTTCAATCAGTGGTGAAAGGTCAGACCGTCATAGATTAGCAGCCATGAAAACCAAAGAAATCAAAGAGATTCAACAGATGATTATCTGTTCATATAGTCAGTGATACAGTAACGTTGGCTGCTTGGTTATATTTGTGGATTTTAATTGGGCTATTCATTGCCAGTGCTCCTTAATCCCCTAATATTTGACAGAGAAGTCATTTGTCTCTTATGCTGACAGGTTAATGGATAAAATGGTATTTGTCTTGTGCTGTAGTGAGACCTCCGTTGTCCTGCCTACATTTCATGCTTGACTTAATGGGAGGGCACAAGAGGGACGGTTATCGAGGCTGCAAGGACACATGCAGAGGAAGGACTTACGGAAGAACTTTATTAAAGCTGTGAAGAGAAGCTGGTGGCACAGGGTGATTTATACAAGCCAGTAGAGATTTGTGTCAGTTTTTCTACTCAAACGATAGAGGTGTGTCACTTTTATTTTACAAGGACTCTTTCATTCTATGTCCTCTTGTAACTGATAAACCATGTGACTAAAACAGTCTCGTTCTGCCAAACGCTGGACCTAATGATGCTCCAGACCCCGTTTCTAGCACGTCAAGGTGACTTCTGGCTTATCAGCTCTGCATTTGTACTTCAGAGAATAAGAAGCAGACGTGTTTCAGCTGCTCACAAAGACTTATCAGGGGTAAAAATAGCCTCTTTTCACACCCAGCTTTGTTTTTTTGTTCACTCTAAGCTTTCAAATTATTGTCTGCTTCAATTCCAATAACACTGAAAACATTATTTCTGAATCATCTCAGACATGTTTAAAAAGTCTGCCATTTACTGAAAGCAGCATGCAGCATTATAATGGCAAGCTTAAGGAGAAATTTCCTTAGCTTTTCATTGGAGTTGGTGTCTAAACTCTAAACCGTGGCTCTGGCAGAATAAAGAAGCCTCTGAAAATAATTAAAATAAAGAGATTATAGGAGTGTTTCATTTGTAGTGTCAGTTCATGTTGAGTGTACATTAGTTTTTCTGCTAAGGACATGGAGCAGCATATCATCTCTTAGTTTAAGCTTTCATACGACCACACACTGGTTTTAAGTAATCCCACTGGGTCAGGATAAATGACTCAACTCTGAACAAGCTTACTCTTTGTGTGTGTGTGTGTGTGGGGGGGGGGGGGGGGGAGTTTTATGATGTCTTGTCTGAAGTAGATTCTTTAAAAACTTTACATGTGTGCTTGGAAAAAGATGGATACATTTTTTTATTTAATATACGTTTATTTTATTTTTTTAAAGCAAAACAGTTTTATTTTACTATGCTGCAAGAATCCATCCATCCATTTTCTTTACCCGCTTATTCCATTTTTGGGTCACGGGGGTCGCTGGTGCCCATGTCCAGCAATCACTGTGCGAAGGGCGGGGTACACCCTGGACGGGTCGCAAGTCCATCACAGGGACACAGAGACAAACGAGACAAACAACCATTCACTCTCTCATTCACACCTAGAGACAATTTAGAGTTACCAATCAGCCTAACATGCATGTTTTTGGTCTGTGGGAGGAAACTGGAGTACCCGGAGAAAACTCACGCATGCACGGAGAGAACATGCAAACTCCACCCAGAAAGGCCCCTGGACTGGGGTTTGAACCAGGGACCTGCTCGCTGAGAGGCAGCAGCTCTACCAGTTGCCCCACTGTGCTGCCCTGCTGCAAGAATACTTAAGGTAATTTAGTACTATTGCTATAAAATACAATATAGGACCACCTATATTGTATATTGATCCCAGATCTTAACATTACTGACTTCCTTTATTCAAAAAAACAACAGGATTACAGGATGAGCCCCTCCCCCCAACCAACCAACCCATCCATCCCATTTTATTCTGAAAATTTCACCAGCTAACTATCTACACCACAGATTATGATTACTCTGTTGTACACAATCATATCACAAGTCATGTGCCAATTTTCCCTGCCCAGGGAAAACCACAGAATAACATAATGAGCTTATGGTTAATGTTCAAGTGCTGTTCATAATGCAGATGTTGGGCGCTGTTTATCATGGTGCGCTAAGATTCATTGCTGTTTGTGACTACTGTACCCACCATTGCGCCCTGTAATCACTGGTTAACTGGTCATCGTGAAGCTCTCGACCTTGACCTCTCTAA